AAATTCCAAATTTCCTACCAACTGAAAATATTAGGTGTGTCCCGCGCGCTCATATGACCTTATGCAGTTGCGAACGCCGTAAAACACTTTACAAAAGCAAGTAATCATCATCATCATCAACAACAACAACAACAATAACAACAATAAAAACAACAATAACTAACATAACAACAACAAATGATATAAACCGTTTCAACAGAATACCTACACTCTCATCATCATCATCATCATCATCATCATCATCATCATCATGATTATGATAATGAAAGTGATGATCATGATGATGACGATAACGTTGACGACTTCGATAACGATGACGAGACGATATATGATTGTAATTACAACACAAACTAGCTCAACAAACTACCACCAATACGTGGGTGGTTGGCGGGTGCTCTGGTGTTGTTTGCTTCTTATTTCCTATCAAACATCGATCGTCCTTATCTCCCCTTCTTCTTTTTATGTTTGTTACCGGTACTCTCTTGTAACACCTCTAATCTTCTGGCGCTCATAATATGACCTTATGCAGTTGCGAGCGCCGTAAAAACCTCTACGTGGGTGGTTGGCAGGTGCTCTGGTGTGGTTTGCTCCTTCTTTCCTATCAAACATCTATCGTTCTTATCTCCCCTTTTTCTTTTTTTATGTTTGTTACTCTCTTGTGACACCTCTAATCTTCTGGCGCTCGTATGACCTTATGCGCGTAAAAACCTCTACTACTATTTTTTTTTAAACAACTACCACCAATACCCCATGCTCCTGAAGGTGTCCACCGCTGTGGTCGAGCCGTACAACTCCATCCTGACCACCCACACCACCCTGGAGCACTCGGACTGCGCCTTCATGGTGGACAACGAGGCCATCTACGACATCTGCCGCCGTAACCTGGACATCGAGCGTCCCACCTACACCAACCTCAACCGTCTGATCGGACAAGTGGTTTCCTCCATCACAGCCTCTCTCAGGTACAATGTAGTTAGTAGCCTACATTATTACCTATTTTTTGTACATTTTAATTATTTAATATATTAACTATCCAAACGTTTTGTTTGTATGGTATAGAGCGCTATATAAATGCAATATATTATTTTTATTGTTATTATTATTACATGTATTATTATTATTACGATTATTATTATTATTATTGTTATTATTATTGTTATTATTATTATTATTATTATTATTATTATTATTATTATTATTTATTTTTATTATGTCTAATAATATACTTGGCGTCAAAAAAACCCAGACACCCCTTTTTTAGTGTTTTTTGTATTGAAAGACTGATTTTAACCAGAAACAATCTCTCTATAAGGAAAGTTTGAACATTTTACAAATCAATTACACAAAAAACAATTTTGAAAAATGAACTTTATTTCCTGAAATTTGATCTTTTAATTGTAGGCCCTAAAATGAAAAGTCACAGTTAATACCGCGTATAGCCGCCGTGGGCATTGGCGACTCCTGTGCACCTCTGCCGCATGCTTCGCAAAAGTCTTTGTATGGGATGCTGTGGAATGTTGTTCCATATGTTTGTAAGTGCTGTACGTAGCTGATCCAAGATGACCGGCTGAGGTCTAAGGCGTTGGCGCACTTATGGTTCTCCGTCCCTTCCACTCCCTGGCTGTCTTGGTAGCAGGCCGGAAGCGATCTCGTAGGTGCAAGACCCGAATGTACTGGTCATGGGCTGGTGTTGTAGCTCTAGGACGACCCGTCCGGGGACCATCCTGTACGGATCCAGACGTCTGCAAACGATTCATTAGTCGATATATCGTGTCTCTTGTCACATTGAAGGTCCTTGCAACATACGCTACTGGCGTATTGGCTCTCAGCATACCAACTGCCTGATTGCGCTCTTCGTTCGTGAAACGCGGCATGCTGTATCTTTAGATTTAGATGTTTTGAAGTGAAACTTTTGACGTTTTATTCTTGGCTACAGATAAAAGATGTGTTAAACCCATAAAATTAGAATAAAAAACCCAAAAACGTTCGAGAAAAATGAGAAAACACGGTTTTTAACAAAACAAGACCTGAGATTTATTAATTGGGCACCTGATCATAAATGCAGGCTGATCAGGAGCGTCAAGTGTTCACAATCATGTGCGGAAAATTTCAGCTCAATGGGTTTTCAACTTTTCTTGAAACACGCAATTAAAATGTGTCTGGTTTTTATTGACGCTAAGTATAATCATATTCGTCAACGATTAAAGTATAAGATCGTGCTGTTTGGGGGCACTGAAATACCTTCGTTATTCAAATACATACATTTTCATTTTCTTTATCTGAAACTTTAAAAAGACAAACAGCAACATGCATAGTGTGGACTATATAATACACCTTTGTGTTTATGATCTCTGCATGATTGTTCGCACGCACCACAACATGACCTTAAATCTGTTAGCGGATACATGTGTCTGACACGGCCGTAAAGAGTTAGAGATTCGCGTCCAATTTTGCTGGATTTGTAGAAAGTGACAACGAATCTGGCTAGGTTTCTCTAATGAATTTGGCTACGATTTTGACACACCCTGATCCGATTGTCCGAAATTAAACATGATTGTTTTTCGGGGTCACAATCGAATTGTGGCAACATCCAAATGTAGGACGGCTGCGTAACATGTCCAGACCAGAACTGTTCCTCTGACGGGCGTGGCTTACTCTCACACCAATGAGGGCTGTGCCAAGCCAAACTTAATAAGGCAAATCGGATGTTACCTCTGACAAGTTAACGCAAGCCAGCCCGTCTCCCAGATCCGATCCAACCAGATTTTCCCTATCCAATTTAGTTCGATACGTCGTATCCTGGAGGTGTCATCTCTGACTCAGAGGTTGACGTGTAATGGCCCTACCTTCACTGTCGTGAGTTGCGGTTGCAGATTCTGCTATACTAAGGCCAGTCCATGTTTTAATGTTGCCCATCAATGTAACTCTTTGTCTACCCCTGGTTCCCCTGCTCCACATTCTTCCTTCAAGCACTTATTTCATAATGGTGAACAAAATATTGTATCTTTTTTTCTACATGTACACACTGCTCTTTAAGATTCCAATGTGCTTTATGCATTTCAGATTTGATGGAGCCCTGAATGTGGACCTGACAGAATTCCAGACCAACTTGGTACCTTACCCTCGAATCCACTTTCCCCTTGTCACTTATGCACCTGTTATTTCTGCTGAGAAGGTAAGACATTCATTTTAAAATGGAAGGTTGGGCAACGATAAAGAAGTCAATTGTGTATTTGTGAGGAGGGGTAGAGTGGGTAGGGTAAGAGAGAGAGAGAGAGAGAGAGAGAGAGAGAGAGAGAGAGAGAGAGAGAGGGGGGGGGGGGGCGAGAGAGAGAGAGATAGATAGAGAGAGAGAAAGCGAGAAAACGAAACAGACAGACACAGAGAGAGAGACAGAGAGAGAGAGAGAGAGAGAGAGAGAGAGAGAGAGAGAGAGAGAGAGAGAGAGAGAGAGAGAGAGAGAGAGAGAGAGAGAGAGAGAGGGGGGGGGATCCTGACTTTCTTTCAATCTATTCTGTTTCTTCTCAGGCATACCATGAACAACTTTCTGTTGCTGAGATCACAAATGCCTGCTTTGAACCAGCCAACCAGATGGTCAAGTGCGATCCACGTCACGGCAAGTACATGGCTTGTTGTCTGCTCTTCCGCGGAGATGTAGTGCCCAAGGATGTCAACGCTGCCATAGCAACGATCAAAACAAAGAGGTCTATCCAGTTCGTGGACTGGTGCCCTACTGGTTTCAAGGTAAAATAAATGGGTTTAATTGAGGCATTCACACCAGGAGCTTTTTTTAAATATTGTCATTATACTATTACTGGACGAAGTTTATTTCGACCTCGTTTCTCCCATTTTCCAAGATCTCTCTCCGAACGAACTGTTCGTACAGTATGTACATTAATTACCATACTGGACAACGATAGCCTCTATAATTTGAATTCATATCGGGCTTGCTTGAATACTTGGTTTGTTTGGCGAGTTTTCATGGCTCTCAATCTTGGTCATATCGGAAATGGGCGTCAAATAGAAAGTGTGGGGTCATCCCAGTGTTCAAAGGGTTGTTCGATCCGACGGTTATGGGGTTTGCTCTGGTGTGAATGCGCCACAAAAAAATACATAGGTACCTGTTTCTCCACTGTTGGCATGAGATCTCAGACACTCCTGTTCATTCTTGGATGTTGCTGTCAATATTATGCCTGCCCAGTATAATTCTAACACACGCACCCTCCCCCTTTCCACGCACACAAAACACACACGTACACACACACACACACACACACACACACACACACACACACACACACACACACGAATCCCAATGGAAGCTTTGTTAATTTTTTATCACTCATGTTCATTGCGAAACTCCACTTTTCTTAATTAAGTTTACAAAATGTCAGACCTGCACTTATTTGTCTATGTTGCTTTTTAAAGAATTGTTTTGCAGTATGGCCAAAACGCTTTGCGTAAAGCCGTCTTTCTACCCTACCTTCTTTCGGGTGGGCTATATCCTTGCTCTCCTCCACACTGGTATACAGTATCAGGCAAAACAGTATAATTTTTTTTTTTCCAACAGTGTGGCCAAAGCTCATATTTTATTCTAGACAGCAAAGCGCACCATTTGACTCAATTTGGAGTCAAATGAAAGGCGAGGGGGGTGGGGGGCGGACTAACGTGCTGCAAATATCGTACATGGGGGGGGGGGTGGACGAGCTGCAAATATCGAACATCCGACTATAGCAAGACTGATGTGTTTTGCCCTTCATTTAGGCGCCCATGATGCGCACGTTTCGCAGCGAAGTTTGTGTAGAAAGTAAAGAGCGGCAATGACAGTGCGTGATCTAGGATGTCATGATTCAAGTCACAGTTGAGTAAACTTGTCTTCTGGCGCTCATATGACCTTATGCAGTTGCGAGCGCCGTGAAACCCTCTACTATTAAAATAAGTTGTCTTTCCATCTTCTTTCAGGTAAACTTGATCTGTTTTCCTGTTTGTGTATCTATTTGTTTGTTAGTGTGAATAAAATACAATACACAAGATTATCATAAATGGTATTCTTTTTAAGGGAGGGGGG